AGCAGATGGTGGGGGTTAAGGGCCTCGCTCAAGGGTCCAGGGTGGGGCAGGTGTGGGTGTTTCACAGCAATCTTCCGATCACAGGCTCACCGTCTCCAACCTAATTCTGCTTCTAATACTTATTTTATTGCTAATGCTAGGTTTACTAATAGTAACTTTACTATTGGTATTGCTATTTTTGTAGCTACTGTTATGCTACTTTTAACTACTAGCTAGAGCTTTGCTACTTTCAGCTAGGATAGCTAGTTTCAGGTAGCATTTAGATGCTTATACTTTTTTACTAGAATTTTACTAAATTTGAGCAATTTGCTAGTTTTATACTTTAGCTGTTTTACTAGTTTGCTAGATTTTTGACACTTTTAGCTTTTTGCTAACATTTAGCTACTTTTAGCTTTCAGCTGTTTTCAGCAAATTTAAACAAACTCATGCAGCACTCGGCATTCACACTGCAGTTTCATCAAAAATGTAATTTCCCCAGTAAATTTTTTCAGGTTTTTATGTTTTACTTGCATAACAAATGATTTCCGCGCGCAGAGCGATGTGGCATTTAGACCTCTGATTCTGAACCAGCGTCTTCACAGAAATTGGATCTGCACACAGTGACAGTCAGTGAACAGCTACAGGGCTTCAAATTTAGCTCTCGAGCATGATGGCCTGTGTGCATCTGAACAGAAAGCAATTAGGCTGAGAATAAAGCAGCTCTGTCTCTCACGGCCGCAGAGATTCTACCTGAAGAAGAGCACCAGCGGGTTCAGTCCATGGAGAGCTGAGCTTCATCTGCAGCCAGCTTTAATAACTGAACATCTTCCTTTGTGTTCTGTTTACTCTCATGTTTATATTTTAGATGTAACAATATTCAAACTGCACGTTGAATAAAAGGAAAAGCTCCATTTCAGGGAGAAGTGGAGCGTTCTCGGTATAATTGCGGGGGGAAGCGGTCCTCAGTCCACTGGAGCGGCAGAGTTCAATGCTCTGTTGGAGTGCGCTTCATTCCTCTGTTGGTATTACTCGTATTGTTAAGAGGACCTCGTCTAATTAACCCCACCCCTCCCAGATGTCACGCACTGCCAAAGCAGAATGTCACCGTGGTGTCGTGTGAAGTGTTTCAGTTTAGAAAAATAAACTGTTATATCTGGATGTGGGTGTTTATGGATAATCCTTCGGGTGGATCTTTACCATTTTGTTTTTTAACCCTTCACATTTAGGATTCTAGAATTGCGCCGCTCGGGGTGGCTGCACGCAGGAGCAGCTTTGTTACTTTCATTCTAAGATATTGCTTTTGGAAACTTTAATTCCTCTTTTGCTGGATGTAAATCACTTTTTTTTTTTGGATGATTGTTTTCTCTGGTGTCGGATGCTGCGCAGCTGGAAGGATTTTTTAATGAAACGTTTTTACTTTTGGACATTTGTTATGATGCGTAACCATGACAACAAGGTGTTTTTTACAACCAGGAGCAGCTGATTAACATCTCAAAGCTCAAATAATATTTCATTTACAGCCTCAGATTTCAAATGAGTTGAAAAGGAGGTGCTGTAGATGCATTCCCGTCTCCCTGCCGGCTGTTCTTGAGTGCCTGCTGAAATCCTGGAACTGGCAGGAAACGTGGCTCATGACAGCAGAAGGACTGGAATCATCCCCCGACACCTACAGTCGACTGTTCACAGCGACAAGGAGCTCGGCAGGCTGCTGAGAGAAGTTCTGCCTGGTATTTGGGCGATCCAGCAGCCCGGGGGAACCGAAAGGCCAGCTGAGTCTGGGTGGATGATCGGATGGCATCTGCGGCCATTTTCTTTGGATCCACTGTGGGACGGACCTTTGCAGGAGATCCTTTCTGCCTACAGCCATCAGCGTCTCTAACATCTCTTAATGAAACGAAGATAACGAGTTACAACAACATTTATTTTCCCTTTGGGATTACTAAAGTATATTTGAATTGAATTGAATTGTTTCTTATTGAGGCTGACACTTTGTCTATTTTTAAGATTAGACTTAAGTCTTTCCTTTTTGATAAATCCTATAGTTAGGGTTGGCTTAGGTTTCCTGAGGTATCCCTTAGTTATGCTGCTGTAGGCTTAGACTGCTGCAGGACAAATGGACCACATTTCCTCTCTCTGCTGCTGTATTTACTTGCTCTACTCTACCTGTTTGTAATTTTCTATCTTAACAAGTGATTTTGTCTTTCTTCCTATGGAAAGTGAACCTGGACCTGCCATTCTCTGTCTGTTTCTCTCAAACCCAGCCAGTCGAAGCAGATGGCCGCTCGTCCTGAGCCTGGTTCTGCTCGAGGTTTCTTCCTGTTAAAAGGGAGTTTTTCCTTTTCACTGTCTCCTTTGTGCTCGCTCAGGATGGGAGACTGAAGATTCGACACAATCTGCTGCTTCCTTAGATAGATAACTTTTACTAATTGGCTTTTTAATGTGTATAAATGTTTCTGTTCAGTGCCCTGAGACGACGTTAGTTGTGACTTGACGCTATATAAATAAATTGAATTGAACTGAATTCCTGGCTGCAGCACGGTGGCGCAACTGGTAGAGCTGCTGCCTCTCAGCGAGCAGGTCCCCGGTTCAAATCCCGGTCCAGAGGCCTTTCTGGGTGGAGTTTGCATCTCTCCGTGCATGCGTGAGTTTTCTCCAGGTACTCTGGTTTCTTCCCACAGACCAAAAACATGCATGTTAGGCTGATTGGTAACTCTGAATTGTCCCTAGGTGAGAGTGAGAGAGTGAATGGTTGTTTGTCTCGTTTGTCTCTATGTGTCCCTGTGATGGACTGGAGACCAGTTCAAGGTGTACCCCGCCCCTCGCACAGTGATTGCTGGACATGGGCACCGGCGACCCCCGTGACCCAAAACTGGAAGAAGCGGGTAAAAGATAATGGATGGATGGATGAATTCCTGGCACAATGACTGCTGGAGAAAGGTATCATTTGCACGGACCGGAACAGAAAAAGGAGGTAAATAAAATGAATTAACACTTTTTACTACTTTCCTTTTCCTTCATGAGAGCGCTACAGTTTCATCCGTTGCATCTGTGTCCTTGCAAAGACTGCTGTTCTCGTTTTAGAGTTGAAACAATTAGCAATTTTAATAAGTCAAGTAAGCTGACTAAAGACCAGAAGTGGGTTTTTATTGTTTTCATTGAAAAATGTCAAAAATTTGACTGAAACTTAAATGTTGGTTTATCGCCTCTTACGTTCACTAAACTGAACAAAAACGGCAAAATCACTGAGTCATATTTAAATCTTGCATGTCAAACAGGCAACTAGAATAAAAGCTTTCTTTAAAGATTAAAACAAATGCAAGTTTCTCTTTATGTTGATGCAGCTTTAATGACTGTTAACCCCCAAGTCTTAAATATCTATTTTAAAAGTATCATCCATTATAGCCTTTATATCTTACTGGGCTTTGTTGATGAAAATTATACAACCTGCCACCAAAAATAAATTATTTCTTAACTAGTCAATTATACAGCTGGGACAGTTTAGATTATTTATAACCCTTCAGTCAAATACAGAGAATTAGCATTTGAAACACACCATTAATCACAGAAACAACAAGCAGAGTGGCACCTTGTATTAACAGACATCGTCTGCAGAGCATCCCTGGAGACCTGACCCTGTCTGACACCCGTAAGGCCATTACCACATGAAAAAAACTCATTCATAATGCAAAGTGGGCTTATATGATTATTAATTGCTGCTCTGTTGCATTATAAAAAGTTAGTTAATTCATTAATTGTACCCTAATTCATCTATGTCACAGAGTTAATGAATGAGCTCCTGCTGAGGGATGTCGTGTTCTCAGATGGTGAGAAGAAAGGGAGAAAAGATCACAATTAATTCCACTATCATTAGACACAGACTGTGTAGTGTAGCCCTGAAGCCCCAAAAATAAAATAAAAAAGATCCCAGAACCAATCCAACACGTGCGTTCAGCCTATGTGGGTAGGCGACAGCTGAAAAGGCAAACGTTCTGCATGTTTCAGGGCGACTGTGGTCGTTTCTTTCAAAGGGAACTGAAAAAAGCTGCCAATTATATCTGCATGTCTTCATTCACAGCTGCTGTCTGTTTTCCCTCACATCATCAAAAGAGCAATTACTCCTCTCTGAGCTTCAGAATAATAGTTTACTACGAGAGCCACAAGGTCGTCTGAAGGGATGCTGGAAGTAAAAAGGTGCAGCTTCATGTCTCTGTGTCTTTTGTGTTTTTGGGTTCTTGCTGTGTGACGCTGCAGCTCCACTCAGGATGTTTTCAAGTCTTCTCATGTGGAGCTGACTTCTCATTAAATATGTCTGTGTGATAAAAGAGGACCGGAATTATTAGGACTGCAGAGAAAATTTACAGTTTTTCTGCAGATCTTCAACAATGAAAAGTTTCTTTCAGTTTCTATTTTTAAACAACTGAAAACCACAATTGTGTTAATCTTCGCAGGAATTTGTTGATTTGGCACATTGGGTGTTTCAGTTTTCTGAGGGACTGGTGGACAAACTAGAGCTTTAAACAACAACAGCAACGAAAAGAAACAAAGTAACGCGAGCGCAAGCCTCTAGCAGCCGTGCGCTAATGGCACGGCGCGCATGGCACGCGTCTCCTGGGAAGAGTCAGAGTCCTCATCAAACCTGAGACACCAGTTAAAGTCAGAGCTCTTTAATTGGGACAAAATGCACAAACATCACGGTCTGCAGTGAAGGGGGGGGGGGGGGGGGTTCACCCAGCTTTACTCTAAACTCTGGTCTGTGTCCTCGTGCCACCTTCGTCAGGGACCGTAGTGCCCCATGTACAAGAATAAACTTCCAAACTGATAAAGGTGGACAATATTTGCGCACGAGGAGCGGACACCTGACAGGTCAGCTATGCCCCCCCCC